GGGAGGCAACCAATCAATGTGTCTCTTTCCATCAATGTTTCTCTCTTTTTCCCTATTCTTCCCTCCCTTCCACTTTCTCTAAAAATCAATGGAAAAAATATCCTTGGGTGAGGATTAGCAACACAACAAAGTATGTAGCAGAACAGATCCAAAGAAAGAATGGTTGTCGCATGTGCTGACAGTAATAATTCTAGCTTTTGAGTTTGGGTGGCCTCCCAAGTGCCAAGCAATGATCAAGATGCTTTTGTGAACTCATTAATTCTCACCGAAATAAATCTAGGTAATAAGTATTACTATCACCACTCTGAGGGGGAAATGGCAGGGATGTTTCTGACTACACTCCAAGAAGAGATTTTACACATGCAATTGTTCATCGCAGTCTAATATCCAACATTGTTTCTAAACAGGGTAAGTGTTTACAGTACCAAGAAGGTGACACTTTATGCCTTTCAAACCCACAAGTTAACTATGCTGGCCATTAACACTTTGCTCTCCATGAGTAAAGACTGCCATCTTGTGGAACTTGCATATATAACAAAAATAATCATATGGAACTAAACATTTTCATTGCACTCATTAAGAATTTTGCAACTAGATTCTTGCATTGTTGCACACATACTAGAACACACACACACACACACACGCATGCACACACACACAAACACACACATGCCAATGTTGATTACATTTTTTTAAAAAAAGGAAAACTTTCCTTTAGGTGTGAATTTAAGTCTCATTGAAAGGTTTTGAACATTGGAAAGATAAAATGTCGCCTCCTTTATTATAAGGACTCATCTCATTAGTCTTTAACCAGTTAACTGCCACAATATTTTGAATTTAATTTAAAAAGTCCTGCCGCTTGCATCTATAGACCCTATGGCATGCAAATGGTTAAGGCAGAGCATTAGGTTGTGCTAAACTTTCTTTATCTAACCTTTAAATGGTTTATGTTAAATAACAAAAAGAAGGTGTAGTGAAACCTTTTGATGGAATTTCTGGAGCACTCGTTTTTTAGCTAGAATGTATGGCAGAACTCTGGGCTGAGAGAACACTTTCACTCCCCTCCTATACTTCTCTTCCATGCTGGCCAATATCCTGGAATCTGTTGTGGGCTAGTCAGCTCTTGATGGAGGGATCCTATTGCCCATGTGGTCTGTGTACCCCAAAGACAGAATCTTCCTGCAATGCCATAGCCACCTGTGCTTCAGTGATGAACCATATAAAGGTGTGTTGATACTCAAAAGCATATAGAGATGCCTCTTTCCTATTTCCCTCATGCATTCCTGCCACCCAGATCACTAAATCCACAATTTCTAGGATTAAAAATATCCTATCTAATAAAAGAGTAATATGCAAATTGACCATCACTCCATCACACAAGGTGCCTGCCCCATGTGGTAAAAGATGACTGCCCCCATGTGGACACAAGATGGCTGCCACAAGATGGCCAACAGGGGAGGGCAATTGGGAGAGACCAGTCCTGCAAGGGAGGACAGTTGGGGGTAATCAGGCCAGCAGGGGAGGGGAGTTGGGTGATCAAACCTGCAAGGGAGGGCAGTTAGGGGTGACCAGGCTGGCAGAGGAAGGAAGTTGGGGGCGACCGGGCCTACAGAGAAGGACAATTGGAGGAATGAGTCTGGCAGGGGAGCAGTTAGGCATCAATCGGGCTGGCAGGGGAGTGGCTAGAGGGTGATCAGGCTGGCAGTTAGGGGCAATCAAGAAGGCAGGCAGGAGAGCCTTGGGAGCCAGCAGTCCTGGATTGTGAGAGGGATGTCCCAGATAGGAGAGAGTGCAGGCTGGGCTGAGGGACACACACCCACCTGTGCACAAATTTCATGCACCAGACCTTTAGTACTTAGATAAAGACCTTGTACTATTAGAATCAAAGTGGGTGACATAGAGTATATATTCTTCCAATGATTATTCCTATCCCTGGAAACCAACATATTTCCAGGTATAGGAATAATAAAGACATATTGTCAGTGATACCAAACACTACTGAGGAGATGGAGTGGTCAGTCATGAGTTCCTGGATGAATGTGAATGGATGAAAGAATAAATAACATGAATGGAGGGCATTAAAAAGAAATGATTTCATCGTGCTGCCTGGGCCATTCCAGCTGAATGTGCAAGTTGTTATTTAACATAAATTTTGTACCCAAGGAAGTACCTGCCATGAAATCACTCTTTAAATATTTATTGAGTAGATGGGTGAATAGGAGGGAATGGAATAGATTAGAAAATAGCAATAATGATAAGAAAAAGGTAGAATCTTAGAACAGGGTCCTTTTACCAAAAACTGTTGAGTATATTTAATTAATAAATATGTGCTTGTACTGTGTGCGGCCATATGGAAGATGGTGAGCACACTGGCATTAACCAACTAACCACAAATGATCACAAATAATGATAAATGCCCTGAAGGAAAACTCTTCCACTTCCACAGACACTAATACAGTGTGGTGGGTGTGGGAGGGCAGGGCAACTGGGAGCTCATTTTGAGCCCAGATATCTTTTCATTAAGCAAATGCTGCTATACTAGTCATTTCCTTCTATTCCTAGATGTTCCTAGAAACTCAAATGTAAGAAGAGTTGGGTTTTTTTAGATATGAGCAAATTTTTCCTTCGAGATATCCAATGGTATCTAGTCCACCTCGTGTCTTTAGGCAGGCCAATACCCAAAGGGTTTGCTAATGTCATTTGAATAGTACCCATGGGCAAGTGAAGCAAGCTGTTTGATGTTGTGATTACATATGTGTGTGTGATACCTAACACAGTGTCCAAATTCCCGTAAGTAGTTATTCCTTTGAATCAAGGCACTATTTCTCAGTGTATTCCTCCAATCTCTAGCTCTATGCATTATGTTATTGGGTAGAAAATGAGAAAGGGGGAATGAGAGTCAAGCAAGTTTAGGAAATGCTGTATTAAACAAAATCATGCAAGTTTTCTTATCTGCAGGTCTTCTTATGGCCTTCCATAGGCTGACTTCTTTGTAAATTTCCAAATGGTGCATTTGATATTTTTGTTTGTTTGTTTGTTTGTTTGTTTGTTTGTTTGTTTGTTTAGTTAACGGCTATAGAACCTTTTTCTTGCAAAAGCCCTCTAGGTACTAGTGTACCATGGAACACACTTTTAGAATTCTGTGTTTTTTAATGCAAATGACTTTGTCTGGGATAGAGGCTGGAATAAGAGTGATCCATTAATATTATGAATCCATTATTATTTATAACCATTTTAGTAAATTTAATTCATCAAATTAACTGCTGTTTTTAAGCAACAGAACTTGAGACAGCTCCATTTCCTAAGAAAGAAGTCCAGGCTGTGAGGCGGCTCCTGGAGTGTCAGCAGGGGGCGCTGTGGTGAAGCTATGGGAATGTCCAAAGGTGGATGATGGATATTCAACTCTCCCCGGGGGTTTTCTTACTCTTGTTTAACTCAGGTTGAGTGTTGATCTCTGCCCAATATTATATCTTAGCTCATTCTTATGGAGCCATGAATGACATGAAACAGGTAAAATATCACTGAAAGTGAGTGATTTACTCTATCCATATAGGCAATTTTTAAGCAGTCTCTCCCCAAATAATACAAGACCCGGGGCAGGAGTATAAGTATGGGTCCACATAATTGAAGTCTTAAGTATGTGAAAGTGACATAGCTAAACACTGTGAGATAAAGTACAGTATGTTCTATCCCCTTCCTTTGGCAACAACACCTTCCGCATCCCTAGGAGGCCAGGTCTGAGTTTCTAGTTCATGACTAGCCGGGAGTTCAGCACCGACCCAGTGACTCGGGGTTCAGACTCCAATCCCCTCCCTCCCACATCCGGCTCTGTCCTGCACAGAGAAGGGTCTCGCTCACGCCAAGGTGTGTGCACCTGAGCACGCACAGCCACGCTCTGTCCACAGTCCCAAACACCCCTACACACCGTGTGTCCCCGCGGCTGTGAGATCTGCTCTCAGGAGACAAGACTTGGGCGTGGGCCTTCACGAGCTCTGGGAGAGCACTCTGAGCTCTTGGGCAAGAAATTCTAGGGCCCCCGGGGCATGGTGCTCACTCTGGACAGGCGTGTGGCTTTGGCCCTGACAGATGTCACCCTGTGAGAAAGGGTGTAGCGGGGGGGGAGGGGGGGGCCGCGGTGGAGGAGGGAAGAGGTGGGGCAGGCAGAGCTAGGCAAGCCTCAGCCAGCACCAAACAAGTATTTGGAATCGAGAATAAAGCCCCTGTGAAAATCACACTTTAAAAAAAGCTGCAGTCTTTGCAGCTACCCCCAGCCTCTGGGGGAAAGAAAAGAAGAAAAAAGGATATTTCTTATTTGAATGTAACTACTTCTGAAAGCCTCCGGTCAACTTCCCTTCCTGTTCTGCAAGGTGAGATGATTTCCCCTTTGGCACTGAAAGGGAAACTAGATCAGTTGTGTGGAAAACCAAAAAAAAAAAAAAAAAAAAAATGACACATTTTTCTCAACTTCAAACTTGTCCCAAGGCTTTCTCCCACACTGTGTTAAATAATAGAAGTCTTTTTAATTGAATTTCTTTGTGTGTAGCATATGCTGGGCGACATTATGCCAGCGTCTCGCTCTAAGCGGCAGCTCGTTCTTCATAAAAGCATTCAAGACCCAGAGCGGCGTTCTGCATGTAGGGAAGGAACACAGGCCGGCAGCAGCTTGAATCCACATAAAATCAGCTCCTCTGAAATGTAATTGTGAAAACACTTTGCGACAAACTGGGAAGTGCGGGAGATACTTAGGATTATAGAATGAAACAAAACAAAAAGGAGAAGAAGAAGAGGGGAAAGGAGGAGGAGGGACAGTACCTTTGGCACAATTGTCTACAGAATCAAAGCTATAATGTGTTTAGCGCCCTAGCGTTCGCCTGCAGGCTAATCTCTATATTCTTTCTCCTTGAAAACCATCCCCTCTGAGAGGGAGGTTGTAAGTAGACGTGCTGTGGCCCGAGGCAGTATTATCTGTAACACATGATTGTGTTCTTCACCCCTTCAAGGATCCTGGAGCTTCAGCAGAATGGCGACATGGACATCCTGAAGCACAAGTGGTGGCCCAAGAACGGCCAGTGCGACCTGTACTCCTCAGTGGACACCAAGCAGAAAGGAGGTGCCCTGGACATAAAGAGCTTTGCGGGGGTTTTCTGCATCCTGGCCGCTGGGGCTGTCCTCTCCTGCTTTATAGCCATGCTGGAGACCTGGTGGAACAAGAGGAAAGGCTCCAGGGTCCCGTCCAAAGAGGTACTTGACTGGGAGCTTGGGCAGTGAGCTAAGCCACGGAGCAGGCTGTGTCTGCGGGGAGGATGATTGCAAGGAAGGGGAGAAAGGGTTGGGGCCTGGGGGGGGGGGGGGGGGCGGGGGGAAGAGGGCGGGGGTAGGGGTCCTTGTTGCTTCTTGTCTTGAAAAGTGAAAATAAATTTGTGAAGCCTGAAAATTGGCAAGGCCAACATCAATTTTTATTTTAGGACATCCCAGATAGATGAAGAGGAGACTACATAGTATTTGAAAGACTGATAGTGTTATGGGCCTTAACAGGCTTTGAAATTCTCCCAAATCTCAGGAGAGAATTTAAGTCAATGGCTTGTTAAAGGCTGTGATTGCTTTGACCAGTTCTTTTTATTGCCATGACTTGTTTAACTTATGCCTAAATTATTGGGGTCTCTAAGATCTGGCCTAAGAAATCCAATTTTACAGAAAAATAATTAGATTTTTCTCTTTACCGCCAGTGACTACTGCCCTTTATCTGTATGTAGACCTAAGAGAAATGGATATGTTTTTAGTTCTGATGACCCTAAGCTTAATATATAAATCCACATCATGGAATCATCTAAAATTCAATATTCCTCTTTTACTCTTCAGAGTAAACTCCAGGTCCATATTAAAATTTTTCCAGAGATCTGAGAGAATATGTGTCTTATTTTCATAAAAAATTATGGGATTTATAACTATCTTATTTCCACTGAACCAAACATGTGAAAATGTTTAAAATAATAAAACCATATTCACAAAAGCTTCACAAATTGAAAAGAAAACAACCTACATTTGCTGAGTGGTCTGATTTGCTGTGTAGTTTCAAGGGAGAGTTTAAATTTTCTATAACTTGACCTTGGCTAACTGATGCCTAGAGCAAGTCCTGACAGGACCTGCTTTAATGCACAAATAAAAATGGCTTCTCGCTTGCATACAAAGTTTTGCATGTTAATGTAGTCTTTCAAACATATCGTTTTCTAGTCTAAGCATTCCTTCCTACCACTTTATATGCAAAATTGATCAGCACCATTTAAAGGAAAAGCCTGGCTTAGCAAAGATAAATCTTTGCTTCCTACTTGTCTGAATGGTAATACATTCTGCATTAGTGAAGGATGAACTAAAAACTAATCAGGTTTTACTGTAGTATTTTCATTGTGGAATAAGCTTCTGGTACCTCTACTGACACTGATTCAATGCAAAAGACCACATTAATGCAACATTAGAGCTGAGACTCCATATTCTCAAAAATCTGGAAATTAAGGACTCCCCAAGCTCCTTATATGTTGAATTACTATATATGATATTAAATTTTTGCACTATTATATCTGTTGATGGATGACTACATTATAGTTGCTGTGGGAACCATAAAATTATCTCTCAACCCTCTACAGTCTCAGTGATAACACTGCATTAATGGATATTTTTATTGGATTTTGAAATGAGAAAGGAGAAGGAAAACACTGATGCACTCAAAATATTTTTCACTTAGGAGCACTATAATAGCACAATAAAAAATAAAAATAAAAAAAACACATACTCCATTCTAACTCATGACAGCTAATCCAGATTTTATGAACAAATATTTTATTTTATGATTAATAGATATTTTTAGATCCTTGAAAATTTGATTTCTTGAACCTGACTATAAATAAGATTGATACAAAGAACAAATTTTATTTCTTGCCAGTTTTACTTTTTAAATATTGGGCTTTAATGCTCACATTTAGTGAAAATCTTAAGGGATTTATAGATTGATTTCAACTCCAGAAACCTGAGGTTTTACTTTCTTTTTCTTTTTTAAGCACCTTTTTACTAAGACTCCATTATCCTAGCTCAAAGCATCTTTGATTTAGAGACCATGTAGCATAGACCTGACCCTAAACTAAAACTGCAGCTCACATGTCAGGTCTCTGAGAGTCCCGCTGGCCTAACAGGGGAGCCTCAGGGACCAGGTAGCTTGAGTGTCCGAAGTCCCTCAATTAGAAATTGATTCTCTTGTGTTGGATGTTACTCTCTCCAAACAATCTTACATATCTTTAGCCTAAGGAGAAATAACATTATAATAATCACCAGCCCTCTAGTGTGAACTAGCATATCAGCATATTGTACCACTTATCTCTAAGAATGGAAAGTTAGAGTTAGGAGTGAGTAGTGGAAAGGGACAAATATTTAACTTGGAATAAAATAAGCCTGAAATAAGACATCATGTGAAAAGAAGAGCAGGTTAAGAGGGGGAATAAGTTGCCAAAACCATACTTTTTATTTGTACGATTTTGCCTGGGTCTGTCGCTGCTCTTATAGAAAGCAATCAGCCATCTACTGCTTCCATATTTTGTAGCTGCATGTGGCATATGCTTATTTTAGAACTTGAGCTGCAAGAAAAAATATTTATTATAGATAACCTTATCTCAGAATCCTATTGGTACCCCCTCCCCCAGAACCTAGTGCCTGGCTCATATTAGGTGCTCAATAAGTATTTGTTAAATAAATAAACCCCAAAGTTCAGTTCATTACCTATCATGTTTGCTGAACTACTTTTTTTTTAACCATGGAAGCTAGTACTGATGAGAACCTTGTCTTCTTTTTCTTCATCTCCAGGATGACAAGGAAATTGACCTGGAGCACCTCCATAGACGTGTAAATAGCTTGTGCACAGATGACGACAGCCCCCATAAACAGTTTTCCACCTCGTCAATTGACTTGACCCCTCTGGACATTGACACTTTGCCAACACGACAAGCACTGGAGCAAATCAGTGATTTCAGGAACACTCATATCACCACCACCACCTTTATCCCAGAGCAGATCCAGACTCTTAGCCGCACACTGTCAGCTAAAGCTGCCTCTGGTTTCGCTTTTGGCAACGTGCCTGAGCACCGAACTGGCCCTTTTAGGCACAGGGCACCTAACGGGGGCTTTTTCAGGAGTCCTATAAAAACAATGTCATCTATTCCTTACCAGCCAACTCCTACCCTGGGGCTCAATCTGGGTAGCGATCCAGACCGAGGCACCTCCATATGAGCATCAGACAAAAATCTCTTCACTGTTTCTTTCGTAGGACTCCCTTTGAGAGGAGCAACTGTAATGTTGTGGGACTAACATGGATGTAACATTTTCCTTTTTAATCGGGATTATTAGTAACAATTCTAGCTCTTCCTCCCTCTTCCCTCTTCTATTTCTCTCTCTCTCTCTCTCTCTCTCTCTCTCTCTCTCTCTCTCTCTCTCTCTCTCTTTCTCTTTTTCCCTCCCTCTCTCCTCCTTCCCTCCCTCCCTCCCTCTCTGCTGATACATTTCCTCCTGCTATTATTCATTACTCAATTTGTTCCCCCAGAATATAGTATGCTAGGATCCAATTAGTCTGCTTTTCATGTACTGTACTTCAAGTATAGGAAATGTGCACTGAGAATACTAAAAGTAGATATGCAGGATTAATTTTACATCAAGGCCTCTTACGTAACAGTTCTCTATTTTTTGGAAGATATAATTGCAATAACTTCAGTCTTTCACATTCTTCTGCTGCATCCATACAAGGCTCCACACTGCTGTTGAGTGTCCTTTAACTGTGGACCAGAGGCAACCCCTGCAGTGTCTATAAAGTACTTTAAAGACCATTCAGGCCACATAATATGAGAATGCAATTTTGTAGGATTACAAAAAAAAGCCATTAATATGCCAGTCAAGACTACAGTTAAAATTACTCTTGCACTGCAACAGTGCATATGACCTTTATGTGATTGTACAGTATTAAAAGTTTTTTTCTTATGTACAGTAAACTTTATCATACGGCAGAAGCCTCTATTGTGTTAAATAAATTAGTATCTCATATATATACATATATATGCACCTATATAATGTGTATATATATATATTGAAAGGCGGCCATTGCTATTGCAATTCATTTAATAATAAAGCTTTAGTTTTAAAACAAAGAAAAGCATTGTATACAGGAACTATGTATAGTGCAGGGGGTCTTTTCCGTTAGAAAAGGCAGGTTGCTTTAATGTTATTCTGATTCTCATTGTTTGCCAACAGAGACTATTTTATACTTTTGTTATTAAAACATCCAGAGCGACTTAATATTTGTTCCTAGATGTAACTCAGCCAGCTAGGTTTTGCATTTGTTATTCAGCGGTGTATAAAGCTAACCTTGGTAATGATTTTACTTCTGATTCACTATCTACATGGGGAAAACTATGAGCCGAACCACATCCGCAACAGCACATAGAGCTCTACAAGAGTTTAAACGTAGATCATTGAAGGTTGACAAAGTCTCTTCCAAAGCAGTAAGCCAATGAACACAACTGTCGTTGGGGAGCAGTGGGAGCCCTGAGGAAATATTGATGTGGCCTTAATTACTGTCGTACATTATCCTAAAAAAAAAAAAAGAAAACATAAGAACCATATGGGGCTCTCTACTAAACCCCCCCCCCTTTTTTTTATCCTGTTCTACTTGGAGGAGTCACGTATTTTTTACAGTAGTGCCAAGTGTATAGAAGGATGACAGCAAAAACAGTGCCTCTTTGTGCACAGCCCTTTTAAAGTAGCGTTCTTACCTGTTAGAGATGTACAATGAACTTTGTTTGTAATCCTTAAATTAAGACGTGTTAAGTAGGAAGCAAGAACTTATCCTGTGTTCTTAGCGGCCATACACTTATTTTACTCTAATTCATTCTGTGGCTAGGATTGACGTAGGAACCAACCTGTGTGATTTGCTTTAGAAGAAATTAAAAAGGTATATTCTTAAGGTATATTATATTTTGATGCTAATTCTGTTCTGGGGAGCATCTTGTACTGTCACTGTTTTTGTACTAAATCTTCAAATATTGTCTACTGTGTAAGGCAGAAAAATTTCTTATCATGCAAAAACCATTTTGTTTCCAGGGTAACAAGTACTTAAGTGCATGCACAACTTGTTTTCCCTTGTAACACTCATGATCTCATCCACGACTCTGATTTTAAAACTAAAAAAAAAAGAAAAAGAAAAAAAAATCTTTACAAAAAGCTATATAGGGACATACCAGATGTTTCAGTGATTTTAGCTATCAAACTGTTAACCATGTACAATATTTAAAATAGGCCTATTTTGATGTATTGCCTATTATACAAATACACAAAACACTTTTTGGAGGCCTCAGATATGAGTGGCAGAGCTTTCTGTGTATAATTTGTCTAAATAATTTGTCTAATAAAAATGTTTTCTAAACTTGCTCTCATACCATTGAAGTCTTAACTATAAAATTTGAAAATGCTTACTCCCTCACCTATTGAACTGAATTTTTCTAAAAACTTATCTTGAGTTCATTAATGGATAAAACACATTAAGTTTTGCTAGTCGAACTTTGCCGAAATGTGTGGCTCTCTAAAAACAATACTAAGTGATGTCCTAAACCAACAAAATACTGCTTTTCTGCTATTTGAGACTATTTGAACCCACAATATATTTGTTTTTCTTTATGGATGTCTCTGTGAGCACTTTTTTGGAACAGATTTAGTTGTTATGTGTAAACAGTGCAAACACTATAATAGCAAAATGAGAGGTGTTGCATCAAAAAAAGAAAATCAAAGGTAATTATTACACTTAGAATTTACTTATTAATAATTGTTTTGCTGTTAGAGAAATAGTTGTCATGCTGAATCTATTAATTTGAAATTTAATTGTCTCCAAATTATTCCTAATACATTACTGCATTTGAACAATAATTCATCTTGCATTTAAATTACTCAATGGTTTTCTATCTGGAAATATATTCAATTTAGATTAAAATTTCTGCTATTCTAAAATCCCATTAAAAAATGAAGTTTTCAAATGTTGGAACCAGGAAGAACTGTAGAGATCTAGACCATCTTGCCACGTTTTATAAATAAGGGAAATAAGATACCAGGAAGGTGGGACTTGCCCACAAGTTTGTCAATCTGAGGCTTAAAGCTGGGTCTTTTTTTTTTTTTTTTTTTTTTTTTTGACTCTGCCATGTCCCATTTAGTCACATTCACTGGATTGTAAAGGTAGGGATGGCTCAGGTACATGCCTCCACCCACTCTTCTGGCCCATCCAAGGCTGTAAGTCTCTAGGGACCTTCCTTCCTGTCTGGGCCCCCACGGAGCACCCCATGCACCTGCTCTCCTTACTGATGGGAAAGTGAACACCTTGGCCTACTTCCCCAAGGCTGTGGCTCCTGGCAGCCATTAGTCCAGGTCCTGCTGCTGTCTACTGCTACTTCCTTTAACCATTGTCTGTCCTGGTTCACACCACTTACACCAACAGGGCTATTTCAAAACAAGACAAATACCTTATATCTATGTGCTTCTATTCTTCTCATACAATCAGTGTATTCCTTTGGTGCATCATGAAGAGTTGTCACTTTTAATGACTCAGAAATTACGCACGGGTTTTGATTTGATAATATATTAGAAAATTGTACAACCTCCTTTCTTCCTCATACATATCAAACTACAGGCAATTTGTCATTTTCTTAATTATGTTATTTTCCATTTCCTTTAGTTTGGGATTGGTTGTGAACTGAATAAATACTTTTAAAAATAGACTCTACTGAATGGTACTTTGATTCATCAATTAAAAAAAAAAAAAAGATGAGAAAACCTATTTACCCCACAAAATGCTTTCTAAGCCACACAATTGGATAACAAACTATTAGTACTTTAAAGTCAGAATTTTTGGAATGGTGTTACACATTCTGCATTATGAGCATAGTCAATAAAGCAGAACTAAGAACTTCTGTGCTGGTAAACATGGGTTTTACCCTTAAATATACATTTCATGATAATCGATAAAATACAATGGGCTTATTAAAAATTGGCTTTCTTCTGCAGTGTTTTTATTTCTAAAAATAGAATATAGTCCCAATCCTGTGACAGACATTAATAAATAGCTAGCAATTATGGGCATAGTTATTATTTCAACAAAACTTAGCAGAAGATACCCAACCCCCATGAGATGGCATAAAAGAGCTGCCTTGGGTGGAAATGACTTACTGACATTGAAAAACCAGGAAGTAAAGCTATTTAGATTTGATAGATTTAATCCAGTCCTATTCGTGTTACTACAAACCCATTATGTGAAAGCCACTATGCGAAGTAGTTGCACATGACATAAATGCAGATATATGTTTCCAAATAGGTCTGGATGTGTTATGGAAGAATTGGATAGGTGGACTTTCTCCATTGCCAGTGGGGTTCTTACGCTATCTTGAGGAAAAGAATTTTCTAAGGCTCACACGGGAGAATGAATGATTTTTATTTGCTTAGACCTGTATCCCTCAGTTCCCAAAGTGCCCTTTCCCTTACACCAGTCCTAACAAACGTGCAGCTGGGGATTGGGCAGAGCCAAAAGCAAAGCCAGTGTGAACAATGTCTGTCTCATAGTGAAGCTGAATCCAGCACAGCACCAGCTAATTCCAGTGCATCAGTCCACTGTGGTCCATTGTGTGCCATGTGGGCGAGTGGAGAACATGAAAGCCCTGAAAGGTGTGAGCAACAAGAGAAAAGGGAAAAGGGCTCCTTTGTATTTCAGATTGCTCACCCATGCGGTGGCCACGCCTATTCTGGCCAATGCCCTGCTCTCAGGTGTAACTGACAGGCAAGCACCTTCTCTGTCATTCAGACCTTAGTGGGCATGCGTTTGTTCTTTTTTTGCCCAGCCCATTTCCCCAGGATCTGCGAGGAACAGACCTGGAGAGTGTTAAACTGCAGCTTCCTGTCAAAGCTGTACAAATGGCATGCCTGTGTGATCTGGCCTTGCCTTTGCTCCTCTCCTGTTAATTAATAACTAGGTTATTACAGCAGAATCACTACCACCCAGTTCGTTTCTTGACCCAAATCAACATGCAAGATATAGACTTTCTGAGGTGGCAGAATGAGTCACCCCAAACCAGTGCAGTCATCTTTGTGCCCAGACAATCAATCCAACCAACTGGTGCAACCCACTCTTTTTTTTTTTTTTTTTTTTTTTTTTTTTTTTTTTTTTTTTTTTTTTCAGGGCTAATTGAGTCTGTCCTCTTAGATTCAGATCATCTCCACAAAGAAGACAGTCATTTCCCAAGATGTCTCTACCAAGAGGCCAAATTTTCAGAAATGTGAAAACTACCACAAGCCAGAAGCAAACTGCTCTCTGACCCTTCCTCCTTATCAATCCCCGCACTGCCCACCATTCGGAGAGTGACTCCTACCCTCAGGCGTGCAGGTCAGAAGACACAGATAACAGCCCATTTCCTATCCCTGTGGGCTAGTTGTGGTAGGGTTCTACTGTGTTTTGGTTTCAAAGGGACCAAACTCAGCCCATCTTGTTCAGGCTACTTTTCAACTTTCATGAACTTTCATTTATATTGCAACAAAGACTCCTAGTCAGTTGTCCTCTCAGCTCAGACATAGGTTACACTTCGACCAATGAGCCCGATGAATGTTTAGCGTTCTCCTGACTGCCCACCATAACCACAGCCTCCACACCACACAAACTTCCAGAACAATAGAAACTTCATGGTTTTGCTCCGTGTATAGAGTGGCACAGAGGCATGCAACAGTTGCAGCAGCAAACGATCCAGCCTGCTCTGAAGACAGAAACACACTGAAGGAGCGGTCTCTCGCCTGCATTTTCCAAATCTACATTTTCAATCGTTTTTTGTTTGTTTTGATCCCATGTAATATTAATAAGTAACAAAGAAAAAACTGTTCAAATTTGAGAAATAATTTTTTTATCTGAAAACTCTACCCTGATTTATTATTGCATACGATTTAGAGTGCCACCTGTTGACTTATTTTGCACACTCCCCAGAATTTCTTCATACTGCATTGCCTGCCCTCTGCTGGAGACAGACGTGGCCCATCTAACCTTTGTAGAGTGAAGGCCTGGTTCCTTCTGGAAAAACCCTGTGGTTCCCACTGCAGGGTTAGCAGCGTGTTTCAAAAGAAACTCTCTGTGATGTAATAGAAAATGCACAGAAGTTTCAGGGCAACATTAATCCTCATTAATTAAAAACTAACTATGCTTTTATGGCAGCTGCTTTAGAAGGAGAACATATGTCACAAAATCAAAGAATGACACAACATCGGAACCAAAGAAAGGATGAAAAACACTGTTTTAATAAATATTTTGCCTGTCACAAGATTTGAAATATGAGAAGGCACACTTTAATTTTTAAAGTTGTTATATTTTATTTTTAAACTGGTGTTACTGAAAGTTTTTAGGAACTAAGTACTCTACATCTGTGGCTATTTTTAATTTAAAAAATTGGACATCAATAAACAAATCATAGCTTGCTTATTCACTATGCAGAATATTCATTATAGGGGGATCTTTAAGAATTAGTTCTTCACCCTAACAGTTTGGCTCAGTGGATAAAACATCAGCCTGTAGACTGAAGGGTCCTAGGTTCAATTCCAGTCAAGGGCACATGCCCAGGTTGTGGGCTTGATCCCCAGTATGGGGAGTACAGGAGACAGCAAATCAATGTTTCTATATTCATCTCCCTCTTCCATCCTCTCTGGCGTAAATAAAAATACCTATATTTTTTAAAGAATTAGTTATTCTATTATAAAAAATAAGATTCAGTTTGCAAAGATTTTAAATCTATAAAACTTTTCAGGATCACTAGAAAATAAGGAGTTGGTAGTTAATATTAAATGCTCTCCAGAATTACATTAAAGTTGACTTTCAAATTAATTCTGGCCCTTTATTAATGTCTGTTTTTGAAATTTGGCTATAAGGTATGTGTGTTTTTGAAATAAAAACACTAAAATTAACTTTTAAATAGAGGCATCACATGTCCAGCTCATGTAATTGGGACTCCCAGACTCAATGTCACATGACTAAGGATTGTAAGCCTTATTGCTCACTCACTCAGTTTTTCTCATGGAAATATTATGGTAAAAATGACTTCATAAAACAGTGTGCAATACCACTTCTCACATGTGTAGTCTCCAAAGTTTTTGGTGTGTCCAATTAACATGGTAAGTCCTATAATATACCTCAATCGGCAATTAACGTATTTTAATTAACTCTTTCTTTTTCATCATCATTAAATTAAGTTTTTAATTCTTATTCCATAATGATTTTGTGTCTCTTTAAAAAACAAAACAAAAAAAACTATTAGTCCTTATACATAAACTAGAGGCCCAGTGCACAAAATTTGTGCATGGGTAGGTTCCCTAGTGGCTGCTGGCTGCTGGCTGCTGGCTGCTGGCTGCTGGCTGCTGGCTGCTGGCCGGGACCTCCCTTCCTGTGGTTAGCCAGCAGGACCTGCCCACTGGTCAAACTCCCTGTTCAGGGGACAATTTGCATATTAGGTTTTTATTGTATAAGATTTTAATAAGACTGCAGAGAGAATATTAGGAATAAAACAGTCACACAGGATAAACCAATAAAAGTAATATAATGTTGAATGCCAACTGTCATTGAAAAATAAAAAAGATGTTGGAAAAAAAAAAAGAGATCAATCAGTCCATCAGTTAACACTTTCTGAGCACCTACTATGAGCAAGGCACTCTGGGATTTCCTAACCGGCATGCCCAGGCACACCCTGGGCCTGAAGCGGTTCCAGCACTGAGGCTTCGATCCCCTCTTTCTCTCAGGGTGGCGGGGTGAGGCTCAGCTGGATTTCTGCCCAGGGGCAGTTTTCTGCATTTACACCTGGCCTTTCCTCGGAAAGCTCCCAAAGTTAGAAACAAAATACCAACATTTGAAAAGTTAAACAGAAACTCGTGGTTCAAATAACATAGGAATACAGGAATATATTGTGATCCAGAGAACATTTAATGGTCAAATGGGTGCTGCAGAGAAGAGAAGAATGCAGCTGTGTGGCTTGGGGTGGTTTCATGGTTCATGGGATAAGTGCAAACTTAGCCTGATTACAGAGAATATTGAGAGGTCAGAAGAATGGGAACGTGCAGGAGGCAGCTAATCGATGTTTCTCTCTCATCAATGTTTCTAGCTCTCTAACCCTCTCCCTTCCTCTCTGTAAAAAATCAATAAAGTATATTTTTTTTAAAAAGGGCTTCCAAGCAGAGGGTACAGTGTCACCAAAGGCTTAGGGTGGGAAAGGATGTGTGGAGGAGCAGTAGCCCACAATGTCTGGAACATGAGTCTCATGTCAAGAAATAGCAGGAAGTAAGGTTTGTGTGAGACTGAGAAAAGCCTGTAGGCTGGGCTCAGGAGATCACACTCTATCCTGTTCCTTCATCTATTCGTGTGTTCACATATACAACATATGTTCACGGAGGTCCCACTATGTTCCAAACACTATTCTAGGCGTTGGGGACACACCAGTACACAAGGCAGAAATCCCTGCCCTTCTGGAGACAGAAAATAATCGAGATAAATAAGAGAAGTACATAGTCTATTAGAAGATGAATGTGGTAGAGAAAAATCAGGATGAGGAGCAGGAAGGTCGGAGTGAGAGTGGGGATTTGCTATTCTAAATAAGGCGGCCAGGGAAAGCCTCACTGATTCGTGGACATTTGACTGAAGCTTTACGGGGAATGAGGGAGTTACCATGTTGCTATCTTCAAAAGAGCATCCCAGCTGAAACTGGTTTGGCT